CACGACAGCAGTTACGCGTTTGAGGCTGAGTGGACCTAGGGGAGGGCCAGGTCCGTTTCAAATAATCGTCAGCGGTGGTGGGCGTGAGTTGGAATCGAACTGGGGTCGCTCAAGCAGCTTAATGACTGTTTGTACAAAGAACATATAAAGAATCGATTATAATAACCAGGCTACAGTCCACATTATAGACTGCCAGTACACGCAGTCAGCTTCATAAGCAGGCTAGAGTGTACATGATAGAGTGGCAGTACGCTCACCGAGCTTAATAAGCAGGCTACAGTGTACATGATAGACTGGCAGTACGCTCACCCAGCTTAATGAGTATTTGTACAGTGAACATTAAAGTAATCGATTGTTGGCGCGTTGGGTTTAAAAGTAATATTAATAGCACACATTGTGGTGGGGGTGTAGTGAAGAGTAGGAAAAACTTTGATGAATTTACCTCAGAGTGGCGTGGTGGGTGTCGAGGCCTAGTAGCGTGCAAAGCCTGCGGCCTCGCCTAAAATTGTCGGCTTGGAAGAGGCAGGGTACGGGTGGCGTTCCTTCCCCCCCCCTCAGCGCTCCAACAATACTGTGTAATGGCTATTATTTAATTAAATACGGAGCTTATGAAAGTGGCGAAGGCGTGGCTAGCCGTTGGCAGAAGCAACCGCCGTCCAATGAAACTGCAGCCCTTGGCGAAGGCGTCGCTAGCCGTTGCCAGGTCCAATGAAAGCGGCGAAGGCGTGGCTAGCCGTTGCCAGGGGCAACCGCCGTCCAATGAAAGTGCGTATGGGCCGAAATACACACACACACACACAGACAGACAGACATGAACGATTTTATATATATAGATTGTCGGTACATTTTTTATAATTTACATTGTGAATATAATTTTTAAATATAATTTTACATTAAATGCTTATTCATTATATGTGTTTCGTTTATGCAGTATTATTAGGAAATGTAGGAGGCTGCTACAGATGTTTTGGGCAGATGTTTAATGTTACATATTAACATGTTTCTTGTTAAATAATATGTATGTTAAATGTTAGATACGATAAGCGGCTGTTATCAGAATTGAGATTTGGGCCGATTTGGTGCCTGAGGAATTTAGCTGCGGTGTTGTGACGTGGAGGGTGTCTCTGATCGCTCTTGCAGATACGCAATTGCCCTTCTGAAGTAGACTTTTGAAATAAAGTTTTGTCGTTTTACAAAACCCAGGTGCTTAGCTGTGGAGTAGCCCACTTCTCCAGAGGACAGAACAACAACGCAGCCTCTACTCATCGTCCCCGAACTTGTATTCGTTTGTATTGTTGTTGTCTATGTAGCTGACCTGCCTCCCTTGCGAGGATTCACGACAGGAGGAGAGGGGGGCAGAATGGACCGGCTACATTTGTCCGCATGTTTGCCACAAGTACATGCGGTTAATGCAGACTTGATGCCTTGCAAAAGGTTTCTGTTTGGTATTTGAACATCTTAACACCTCCTCTTTTATTCCCAGAAAGGGCGGAGCCTACTCTTATATTTTTTTTATAATTTTGATATTCGCAAACAGGTCCCATAGATACTACCAGTTTGCCAAGGGAAACATCACAATACTTTAGTGGAAAATATGGGCTTAATTTGGCTATCGCTGTCTATACCTAACAACAAAAACCTTTCTGAGCGAAGTGGCAAGCCCTGAGCTCTACATAACAGGCCCTGTGCCATGCACTGAATGAACTCAAAGTGAAACATGCACACCCCCCCCCCCGCCCCCCCAGCATTTTGGACCCACGGCTGCAACACTCGATAAGAGAATAACAGGAAACGGTAACATGAGAGCATCAAAGAGAGTACACCGGTGAGAGAAGCCCCAACTCAAACCCTTCACATGACACATCCAGGCTTTGCTGAGTTTGATGAGAGTTCAACTCCAGTGTCCATCTCCTGTCGTCTCTCCGGGCTTTCAGGGAAAGCCGGACGCAAGACCCACCCTGTCAAGGACCTGCTTTCCCAGCCTGTTGGCCGCAACAATCCAATGCACCTGCTTTGACGGTGTTTGGAAGCTGCATATTGGGTGTGTGGTCGGTCTGAGCTCACTCGTGATTAGGGGCCGTCCATAAATGACATCACGTCATTTTGGACGATTTTTTACCCCCCCCCCCCCTCGTCACACGGCATCACAAAAAGTCAGACCCCCCCTCAAATATGACGTCACAAAGCTCTGCCCCCCCAAAATTAAACATGCTTCAAATCGCTTTAAAATAGTCATTGTGGTGTGTATTTAATATACGCTGCACTATGATGTTGTAGGAGAAAACATTTATTTAAAAGTCTATTTAATTAAGTAGAACGTGCTGTCTATATTTATTTAAAGTTGCGCATTTTGATGTGACGTCACATTTCTCAAACCCCCCCGCCCCTCGTCACACATCGTGACAAATGTCTGACCCCCCCCCCCCCTAGGTGCGTGACGTCATTTATGGACGGCCCCTTAATCATACGTATAATTGTGCACTCTGTAGCATATGGGAACCTAAGAAACCATTCTGCATAGCGACAGGTAGCCAGGTGCCGTTTGCATTATTCTTGAATGCGATGGTGATCAAGGATTGGACCCCGAGCCCCCACATGCGCAGTAGAGTCCGAGGCTGTACACCCCCAAGTTAGATTTGGGCGTACTTGGTGCTGAGATATTGAGCTGCAGTGTTGCGACGTGGAGGGTATCTCTGATCGCTGCTGCAGAGACGCAATTGCCCTTCTGAAGATTACTTTTGAAATCAAAGTTTTGCCGTTTCGCAAACCCCTGGTGCTCCAGCTGTTGTGGAGTCGCACACTTCTCCGGAGGACAACAAGATGCGGAGTCTCTACTCATCATCTCCGAACTTTTTTTTATTGTTATTGTCTATTTAGCCAACCTGTTCCCCCTCGCAATGATTCAGGATGGGAACAGAGGGGAACATGGCGGACCGACTACACGTGCATCTACAAACTAACATCACAGACCACATCAAGTTGAGCCACGTTTCCACAGCCAGGTGTCGGCGTTCTTTTGGGTACGTTAGAATTACCACGCAGACGTGAGCACAATGCAAAGCAACCTTCACTATGTACACACAACGTCAGCACTGAGAATAAATGCAGCCCATAAAAGGAAAGTTATTGGGCTGCAGTGGACCGCCAGCTCCGAGTCGTCATTAGGCGACCCAACATCACGACTTCAGCTGCCTTCTCTCAGGAGGGCGCAATTAGGGCCATGTTCGCGTGAAGATGGGCTCGCGGTAGCCTGCAATGTCGTCATTGAAATGAAAGCAGTTTAATGGGTTAAGCGATTAACCTGTTGAGCAATAATGCCCCCCCCCCCCCACTAGGAAGGTGCATGGAGTCATTAGCGCACATGCAGGCGATGGAATGCTTGGTGACATTTAATGGTTTTCTGTTAGGCCGGCAGACTTGGTGCTCACAGAACACAAGACTACCTATGTATAACACTTGGTAAATTATACAAGTATATTTAAAAACACGAACCCTGACATTGGATACACTATATGTTACAAATATAAACTTTATTCAGTTATATGGTATCAAAGAATGTTTAAAAAACGCGTCCATATGTGTACAATACTACAGTAGGTTATATATGGTATACAATCAAAACTAGGTAAAGCTTTGAAACAAAATGTTTTATTACAAAATGTGCCCGACAAAAAGTCCTCATTGAGAGCAATGCGTGTCACCACCAACCCAACCCAGCGCGCACGGCTCGCATTGCAATCGCCAGCGGACTCCACCAGGCCCCTCGGGGTTGCGGTCTAGACACGCAAGGGCACGTGACGTCCCCATTGCACCTGGAGACCTGGAACCATGGGCGGTCACGTGGTCCCCCCCCCCCCCCCCCCCCATATAAGTCGGCAGGTGCTACGCTCGGCCCTGCTGCCAGCATCCGAAAGTCGAAGTGAGCACGAGGTCTTTGATGTCAGCCGTAAAATTTAAGGTCTTTTTTCTAGTAATCTGATTTTTAAAAACACATTCGGGCCGTTGAAATATATTTTCGGCACCTAAATTGCGTAAAAAATGTGTATGGAATTTTTTTAAATAGGTTTTCAAAAATGGTATTGTAGCTCACTTCAATACATTTTGATGAAGAGTATAATTTATTCCTCTTCATCTCCTGTAAGAACAAAGGCTCCTTGAACATTGCAAATAAATTGAGTTCAAGTGAACGGTTTGGATAACTTTATGCTTTAAACTTTTTTTGTTAAACAATCACTGCACATTAGTGAAGAGTCTTTGTTTATTGTTGTTAAAAGATCCTGAAGCAGAAAAGTTATTTAATTTGTTACTGATCCTTAGCCGTGTATCAATAGTGACATTTTTACGTGCAGTTTTATTTAGAGACTGTGTTGTCTGGGGGACTGTTTTGTTGTTTTTCTACCTTGCCCGAGCTTGCACTTAGTGTTGAAAAATCGGCAGGAATGTACCTACTTATGCAATTTATATGCATACCTGTCAACCCATACGGTTTACCTGTATTCTTGTACAGTGAAATTGAGTTTTCAGGTCCATATGGCAGACAGTCGTTTCAATATGGGCAAAAAAATGTGTCTGTTTCTCCCTTGTGATGAGACTTTGTAGGATGAACGTTGATATTTATAAGGGCACAGGGTGACCAATAGGGTCTGAATTGGTCTGTAATAAGGTAGGCACTGATAAGGGGTTGACAAGTATGTATATAAGTATGTAGAAACTTTTTTCGTTATTCTAGTGACTTGCCTTTTCTCAATTGTGCACTCTCATCCTTTTGTATTGCTAATTTCTGACCCACCCCTACTGGACATCTTTGAAAAAGAGCTTCAAAGCTCATTGGATTCCTCCATGATTAATACAGATTGTAATTCTGAAGTATTATTTGTAATTGAAAGAATGTCCACACCTCTCCAATGAAGATGATGCATGCCATTTCCTGAGTAAATTATTTGTGAATCTCACAGGAGCTGTGAAGATTATAACTTTCGGGCTGCATACGCAGTAGCAGAAACAAGGCGATGATGGAGAACAAAAGCTCCGTGCTCTACCTCGCCACATTTGAAGCCCCGTACCCTGTGCAGGTGCTCATATTCAGCCTGTGCCTTGCGATGTACCTAACTACAACTGCAGCCAATCTGCTGGTGCTCGTAACGGTGGCAGTGTCCACAGACTTACACAAGCCCATGCACATATTTTTGTGCAATCTTGTGATTGGCGACATCATTGGCAGCACAGGTGGCTTGCCCAAGCAACTGCATGTCCTCCTGACGGGCAACAGAGAGATCATGTTCATTCCATGTGTCGCACAGATGTTCACACTTCACACATTCGCCTTAAATGAGATTTTTACATTGGCTCTTATGTCTGTTGATCGCTACCTGGCCATCTGCTATCCATTGCACTACCACACCAAGGTTACTGCAAAGAGATCCATTTTCATCGCATTACTGTCCTGGCTGATTTCAATCATTTCAGTCAGCATTCAAGCCACATTTCTTCTTTCAATTACATTAAAAGAAAATAACAGGCAAATCCAGGGCATAGCCTGTGATAACGTTGGCATTGTAAGTTTAGCCGCCAACGACACTAGCAAAATAGAGATGTATGGAAAATCCAAGATTTTCCTAACCGTTGGCTTTCCTTTCTGTGTCATTGCGTTCACCTACGTTCGGATTCTTGTCGAGTGCAAGAACTCGAACTCCACCGAGTTCAGGAGCAAAGCTCTGCACACATTCGGCACGCATTTCATGGCGCTCGCCGTCTTTTTCACGGTGCTTTTCTTAGACATCCTTTTGCCGCGCTTTGTGAAGAATGCCGACAGCGAGGGCGTGAGAAACTTGAGATCCTCAGTTCAGTTGGTGTTCTTGCTCAGCCCGGTTGCGAACGTACTCATTTACTGCCTCCGTACGACTGAGTTGAGACTCGCAATTAGTAAGCACTTCAAGAAGATCTCGCCTCGTGTGCATTCCTGTAAAACCATCAAATATCACCTTTCAGGTCATTGTTGAACGATTTCTTTTATTTTAACCATTTAAAACAGTCGCATACACTTTATAATATAGCCTGTTAAAGTCAGAATAATTACAAATGGGGGCCTCCATTCCCAAGTACATCCATTACAATGCTACCTTAAGATCTTCTCTACACTCTCATAGGCCTCCACTAGACACTATTAACATGAATGTATCAAGATATATATTGGTTGACACGATAATGTTGGATTCCAAGATGCATAGCCTGTGAATTACTGGATGCAATCCTTCGAGTTTCTGTAACTATATTTGGTACTCGTAAGTTAGCTTCTATGATTACAGTTCGTTTCGGGGTCACAAATTATTTGGTTTGCAGATGATGGGAATCCAATATTATCTAGTTCATGGTATAAGCATAGTCTCGACTATAATTATGGAAATTTTAACGGGTTAGCCAATGCTGCTGTCGTGTGCGCCGTTGATGTTGCTGTTGACATTTTCCCAGTAAAAATACATATTATTCTGTCGTTAATGAAGAACCAAGATGGAGCGGAGGCACGGTTGTGATTGTAAACTTGCTCGGAGCACAGCAACCCGACTTTGATTCCTGGCCACGACTAACATCAGTGACGAGAGATATTTGAACCAGTCTTGCCCCCACCGCCCAATTTCACCAACACACACTGATCATCGCGATGAATCGGATATCATACATAACGTAAATTAATAGCGTCGCTGTGGTGAAATTTATTAACGTAATAAAATAAATAAGCAGACGATGTGCCTCTTTCACATGTGTCCCCACCCGGCAGTTTACCAGCATTGATCCAAGGAAGCCTGATTGTTGATGAGACACTGAATGTCTAAACCGGTCCAGAGTTTGCTTTGTGTTAAACCACTGCTGCTGAAATTACACACTCGCACAAGAATTCGTGGTGGATGGCATTTGTAAAAAAATGCTTACATTTTTTTGTTGTTGTTGTGGAGGGACATCTGTAATGGAAGCGTATTGTCCGCTTGTTTAATTTGCTCCACGACGCTCACGATTATTGTGCATTACTTTTCTTAGTAGTCAGAATTGTGTCTTAAATTTGCGAATGTTTTACAGTCCTTCAACCCTAAGCTGTATTCAAATACATTTTGTGATGTCATATAAACAACTGGGCAACATCTTCATTACCCGGTACAAGCAAAAAAACAACCTTTAAAAAACATTACTAATTATTCCCATTCCCTCTTTCTCCAATGAAAGAAAACACCAACTTGCCTGAATGTTTATGCCTCGGAAACTCAACACTGGACATTAATTCCTAAGTGCTTGCAAATGTTTTTTTTTTACAGTTCCTGAGCACAGATTCAATGGCCCAAAAAGTTAACCGCCAAGCAACAAACCACACTAACAGAGTTGAAATAGATATGAGTGAACACGTTTCTTGAATATGTGCAAATTGCATATTATCCCTGTAGTCGCGTTTATTTTTTCTCCGGGTCCTTAGGTTTTTCCCTCAACATTTAGAAACATGCATTGAGATCATTGAGAATATTTTGCTGCTATAAATGTCAAAATGGCGGGCTACTTTGTTGAGTTATCATTTGTGACCAGGTCGCTTCGGAAAAATAAGTTAATGTCAGTGGGATTTGCCTGGTAGCACGGAAATGGTTTAGTTTTATTTGAATGTGTTTGGGTGGTTTGTTTCCCTTGTAATTTGCACTCCTATCATGTTTTTTTTTATTGTTGTAACGTTCTTACCTGCCTCTACTGGACATCTGTAAAAAAGAGCTTTATAGCTCATCGGATTCCTCCAGTATAAATAAATATTCTGATTCTGACTTCGAGTTGCAATATATATGAGTTAACACGTTTCTTGAATGTGTGTATGCGCGTTGAACTTCTTTTGCAGCGTATGTAGCCAACCGTGCTAATCGGAGGTGCTAACCGAATTGAGAAAGGCCATTAATTACAAGAGCTTGGGTAATAGAGACGATAATGGGAGGACATTCCAAATTGTAGCAGTGTGAAGAAAGAAGCATAAAAAGTGATTTGGCTTGCATTGTGGTGGTTGAACGCCGTGTGGATTAAACGAAATAGTGTGTCTAGCAGACCGAGTCCTCTGTGTTTTACCTATGGAGCTGTGTCCAAGAGAATTACTCTTGGCACCACTGGAGGAAAATGCTTCCAGCATGGGCAAGCATCCCCCCTTTTCGACGAACCGGTAAGTAACGAATTCATAGAAGAATCAGTAATAATCAAATTGAAACTCGTGATACACGCGTAGATTTGTGCATGCGTATAATAATTGTTTGAAAGTGTTTTATTATATGTGGGCGGATTATCCAAATTGTTGGTCAACCGTGCATGTGAAAAATCAGGTGCTCGCTGGTTATATTATTAGCTGCTCTTCACCTGTCGACCAGTAAACCCATAACTTTCGAGAAGCAAGACGCGATCCGTTCTACGTCTTCTGTCCCATTCTACTTTTAGTAAACAATTACTATTTTAGAGCCCAATTCACATGTTTCTACATTATTCTTGCTGTTATTTATTCCGGACTACTCTTCCCCCACATTACCCGATAATCTGGAGTTCACTATGTCCGTGTCATATACATTGAATGTGTCGGACGTATGGTAAACTGCAGCTGCTATATAAAAAAGACAATACATTTTCGACTTGGAATCTTAATGCTACCACAACCCAAAACGATTCACAGAGCTTTGCCGACACGTAAGTCATAAACATTGCATGAATACAATCAACTCAATAAAACCTATATTAATACAATCAAATGCATAACACCCTCGGATTAAGTTTATCAACAGATAAACCACTGTATGAGTGACATCGACAGCATAAATCGGATATTCTAATCTAACTACGAGACTCTAGTTCCTACAAGCATCATAACAGCAAACGAACCGAATCGCTTAATAGACTGAATTGTAGAAGTTTGTGTTGAACCTTCGAGAGAGAGCAAATCATTAATATAATCATTGCTTGACTGCAATTACCATCACAGGCGAAAGGAATGGGCACAGCCACTGGGTGTCTGCAGAATGTGTTCGACGGGGCTCAGAGACACCCACACTATTTTGAGCGGTCATTGTAATTTTTCAGTCCGCGTGTTTGTCCATCCAACCCGTGGACATACACGCAGACGACAATGGCACCTGTGAATACACAGCACCGCATCAACAACTCGGCTCAGTACCGAGTCGGCAACCGGTAGTGGCATAGATTTTTAATACTTTAAAGTGCAGGAGAGTCTCCTTCTGCGTGGCGGTGGCATTGCCTCGTGGTATCACACATTCGCCGCGTGTTGCAGAGGTTCAATTCCGGTCGTCTGCCGTGACTAATCCTGCCGATGTAATAAACGTAAAGTCTAAACACCATCTCGTTTACGGTGGAAAATAACAATCCAGTGATTTGAAAAGAAGACCATTGTGTAATGGTGCCATGGTATACATTCGCCACATTAAAAAATTGCCCACAAATTACTTGGATTGCAAATACTGGTGGACTAATGCCACTAGCAGGCCGGTGCCGAGTCGCCTCGTGCTTTACAGATGCAGCTGCCACTGGGGCTTTGAATGTTTGAGGTGAGGTGTGATAAAAATATTACGAGTGATGAGCTGAAGGGTGAACTTCACGTACCCTACCAGTAGACTAAGCAATAACCACCGAAAACCATTCACTAGCGAGTCCGTGAGCCAGAGCAAAAATTGATAACACTAACGGTAGCAAATACTTGAGTCTATATGGCGAATAAGAGTGAATTATTTGATAACCCGCTCATTTCAAATGGTTGTCACACAATTCACTGTTTATTTGCCACATTAACAAATTAGAATCACTCGAGTTATGCCACTTAATGTGGTACTTACAAGTGCCATGTCCTGTCTGGGCTCATGGACTAAGTTGGACATCTCCAAATACACGAAGACATGTGTCAAGGTTGGAGGAATGGCTCGTCTTTATTTAAATTGGATACGATGTATTTACGTGCTATGAAGACCATTCCCCGAAATGCCATCTCTTACATCCTATTCCTTTATCAGGCCAGAGTGTTATTTATTGATGCATGAGTATTTTTTGTTGTTGTTGCTTGTGCACCACTACCAATGCAGCATCACCAAATAATTTGTTTAATTCCATAATGTGGCTGCGCCCCAGCCTAAGGGAGTTACACTCACGATTCCTACAATGCAATAGGCTCCCACAACGTCTTTTTGAATACACATTGCATGGATTTGCGCGTACATAATTTTTACCTATTTATTTTGCAGACCTCTCCATATGTTCTAACGCTATGCTGCACTGTACCACAACGACCGACCAAATAAAAACATGTGGATGGCTCAAACAGAATTCCGGCACAGTCGTGCATGCTCTTAATGACCGCGCTCATGCTATTCCTCGAGGCATCAATTAAACCGGCTAGAGTCGAATATATACTTTGCACTAACGAGACAGAGTATTTATAATCGTACAGAGGGACCTTTAAAATAGCACCGCAGATCTACCGACACGCTATGCTTTGCTGTGCACTCTCTCATTTAATTGGGCACGCAGAGAGCCCTCGTAAAGCTCATCAAGCGTCGTCCTGGGTGTCCCTCAAGAAGACGGCGGGGGCTTTAAGCGGCGGGCCAAGAGCCACGCTCCACCGATGGCACTACAGACTCCTGCTGGGGCTCATTAGCACGACACACAGACCAATGCATCACCAGCCAACCTGCTCATCCTACAAGCATACCCCTGCAACTTGAGACGCGCCGCCGCAGAATTGTTACGTCGTGTTCGAACAATAATAAATCCAGCGACTCTGCTGGATGTATTACTCCTCATACAGACAGTGGAGCGCGATTGGCATGGCCTCTGGGGGTAAGGAATGCAATGGGCTCCCCATATCTATATTCCGCCCCCCACCCCTCTTCACAGCATCGTGTCTGGACCTCGGTGCAGTTGAACGGCTTTGAGACTCGATTGCCATTGCCTCACACATAGAACAATGCTGAATCTGCCTTACACTTGAAAATAA